ATATATATAAAGATGAAAGAGCTTCTCAGATGTGTAGGGTATAAAATGAAAAACTTGAAACCAGGCCAGTGTGCTCCTGGAAATCCAATCCATAGGGAAGGATTCAGGAGGCCCGTTTGCAAACGCTCCTCTCTTCTATATTTCTTTTTCTTTTCTTTTTATTCTTTTTATGTTATTCTCCAATAAACCTTTGTTTTGTCTTCGTATTGTGAGTATCAAAATTTGGGTTTTTTACATCTCACAACTTGGTGGAGAATGCGGGCATGCAGAGTCTCTAGGGGACACTGTTCTCAGTAAAATCAGGAGCGCGCCTGTTGATTTCAACTGCCTGGAGTTATCTGAGATCTAGTTCCCCTTGCAGACTCCGAGCCAAACTAAATTGACAACTCTGGTTTACAAAAATCAAAGAACAGGAAAAAAGGAAGAAAATCAGCAACTGAAGCCCAGACCAGGTAACCCAGTGCACTGGCCCAGGTAAGAAACTTTTGCCCCGAAGTAGGGAACCATGCAATTGTACCTGGGTGGTCAGGAGAGCGATTGTGGGAGGATTTCTGCGATAACGGCTGTGTGAGTGTGATGGACTGTGTTCTGGGAACACTGGTAAGTCCAGAGGAGTGCAGACCTGAAAGGTTGAGGTCCCTTACTCCCGTGAGGGGGAAGGCCAGCCTGAAGGGAAGCAAACTGGTGTTAAGAGTTTTGAGTGGCCGTCAAATCGAGAACCTCAGGGAACCATAATCAGGTAAACTCTCAAGAAGATGGGTTGTTGTTGTAAGTCGTTGTAAACCTAAAGAAAAAAATAACTGTAAAATTGAGTAGCTTCAAACAGGAAAACCCATCTTACTAGCAGCAGATGCCTTGTGTCTGTGAATGGGTTTGAAGTTTTTGGAAATAAGGGGAATGAGAGAAATGTGTGTATGTCTCTGTGTGTGAGTGAGAAGACCCTTTTCCCAATCACAGTTGGAGTTCAGACCCTGGAAAGCATTTGGAAAAAGGGAAAGGGTGTGTGCAAATGGAATGGAATGGGTGAATGAAAGAATTGGATTTGAGTAACCAGCTGGTTAGGTCCTGTAAGCAAAGCAAAGCAAAGTTAGGAAAATGGAATTGGCTAAATAAAAGTACTTAAAAGAAAAATAAGAAGTAGTGATTCTCTTTTTCTCTCTATCTTTCTGTGCAATCATATGGTATGTTTAAAATGTGTGCCTTCCCTAATTTGAGCTATCTGAAACTTATAGTGGGAATGACTAGGATGTGTAAAACTAAGACTTTTGTTCTCTTGTCTTTGTGTATATATGTTTGTCAAAGTTTGTGTGTGAGAGGTAAATGTGACTGTTAACTGTTTCAAATCCAAAGAAAAAAGAATTTTAAATTCTGCTAGAAATTCTGCTTAAAATAAGCCACAAAAAGGAAATACCTCACTCTGTTTGTCTGGCCAACCAACAGAGTGAAGAAAAAATTGTGTTTGTTTGTTTGTTTTCCTCTCTCTCTCTCCCTCTATATATATATACTCTTAAGAACAGCCCAAAGTTACCTGCTCAGGCAGGAAATCCTAAACCATTTTCTTGCCTACTCTGCTCTCTCCCTTTTGCAAATGTTATTCAGAAGTGTGTTAATGCCTTTTCAAACTCTATCTGCAGACACAAACCCCCTTCCCCCCTGCTTTTTTCTGGCTGTGTTGCTTTGAAGAGAGAGAGTGAAAGGAGAAGGGGGGGTTGATCTTTTTAACTTTTTCTCTGCTTAGAATTCAGGTTTGAGAAAGGTGGTGTGGAAATTTAATGGAAATTTGTTTCCATCTGAATGGAATTTGATTTAATTGGAATTTGACTAACTTTATATTAAAAGCAATACTAGAGTTTGATAAAAAAAACTATTTCAGTAACTCAGGATATCTTACTAAACATGTTTATTTTTTGTGAAGTTAAAACAAAGAAGTTGAGAAAAATTTGGGATTATAACTTATGTTGTTTTGATTAAAGATTTGTATACAAAATTGTTAGAAAAAGAGCTTGTGGTAACAAATGCAAATAGAGTTTGATGAGCTCTCCTTTGTTGGCTCTTCGCTAGATAATTTATTTATAAACAAGGACAAAGGTTGGAGGAGGTTTTGACCCAGAAGGGGGGGGAAAGAGGCAGCCAGTGGCATTTTTGTCTAAAAATTGACATTTGGGGACGTCTTGGTGGTTAGCATTTCTTATCAAGTGTGGACAATTTTGATCAGGAAGCCTAAAGGATAGGGAAGGAGGGATTACCAAGAATTGAATAAAAAGATAAAATAATTAGAAAATATATACTCGAACTGTCCAGATGTTTTTCTCTCCTGCAACAGAAAGGCATTCTTATCCAAACTCCACCCTTGGACTTTGCAGTAAACCAATACAAAGCAAGACAGTGGGTATTGATAAAAGCCTGGAGAGAGGAAAAACTAACTCCAACCTGGGAAGGACCTTACATCGTCTTGTTAACCACTTTGAGACAGCTATCCGGATAGCTGAAAAAGGTTGGACCCATTACTCCCGAGTAAAAGGGCCCGTGCCAGCCCCAGAGGAGTGGAAGGTGGAATCTCACCAAGGAGATCCACTGAAGCTAAAGTTCCGAAGGACGTAATGAACTAATAGTCAATCTTCCTGACAGAAGGAGGGGTAATAGAGGAAAAAGGACTAAACTTTATATTTCTTTTTCTATCTAGAACCAAATGAAAACCAAGACCTCCTGCATGTGCTGATTTTGTGGGTATCTTTGTGGGTGTTGTTGCTGCTCTCACTGTATTAATTGTGTTCAGTGCACAGGGTGTGAGATAGAGTGTGATATTAAGTCTTAGAAGATGTATTGGAACGTTACAAAGTGGTATGTCTGGGGGGTTTTCTTATTATACTCTTAAAACCTGTCCAACCATTAGAGTCATGTAAGCACTGTGTAAAAATGACAAAGGGAGAAGGAGAAAATATACACTGACTCCAAGTATGTTTATGGAGTCTTGAATACTGGTGGAAGAAGAAAAGAAAGAAGTTATGCTAGAGTGGCAGAAGGGAAGGAAGGAATAGAAGAAAGAAACAGGAAAGTTGTTTTAAGTTGGTTTGCACAACTTGTGAATTGCATGCATTAAGCAGGGAGACTGCCATTAACCTGGTCAGCCCAAACGTGTGAATTGTATGCCTTAACACAAGCCTTGGAATGTTGAAGGAACAAGAATGTACTAAAGATGGGAGGTGGATGTTGCAAGATGGGAGACAGATGTTGAAAAGAAAAAGAAAAAAACAACAACAAAAAAACAATGGATAGAACACAGAAGCAGCCACTGAAGGGGGGTTGCAAGGGATAATTAAAAAAAAAAAGCTTTACAACATTTAGTGGTGAGGCCATGTCAATATAGGCCTCAACTGGAAAGTTGTTTTTGTTTCTTTGAAATGATGTATGGGAGGCTTTTGTTACATGAAGGTTCAAGAATGTCAATGAAAAATAGAAGTTACTCAGTATTTGCATAATGTGGCACAGGTTTTGTCTCCTATCTCAGTACAGGCCCAGGCTGCCTTACTACCTGTCTCTGGCTATTGTTCCTGGAGAGTGGATTCAGGTGAAAAGAACTGTCACCTAGAAATACCAGTCCTGAGTGGTCTCAACCATGCCAGGTCCTCCTGATTTAAGGAATCAAGGCGTGAGTCCATGGAAAATCCCATCATATTCTCTCCTGTGACAAACTCCGCAGCTGGACGGCCTGAAAATGAAATTTCAACCTGCCTCACCTGTTGAACTGTTTCCATCTAAGTAGGGAAAAAAATTCAATGGATTGGACTACCCTGGAAATTGTGTTCCTAGAAACCTGGACTATGTGTTGCAAAATTTTTCTTCTGCTACTGTTGTTTCCTTAGTACCTTCTTTGGTAGAAGGAAGGACCATGGGCCCAATACTTTAAGGAACATTGGGGAAAGAAGACTCAGAATATGAAAACTTGCTTGTACAGGAATCTAAAGAAAATATAGGGAGTTATGAACTATTAAAAGTATAAAAGAATAAGTTCAGGAGGAAACGAAAAAGGGGGGATTGAAGGAAGTAAAAGTTATTCTTTTATAAAATTGTAGAAAAATAATTGTAGAAATGTAATGCCAATATATGAGACTATTTAACACAAATGTAACACTGTAATGCAAATGTAGCAATGCACTGCCAAATGTGTGAGAAAGTTTGTTCAATATTTCCTGCCTAAAAGTTCTCAGGACACAGGAACTTACACTTTGAGTAGAAATCCTACTATCAAAGAGGGGGATTTTGACCCTAGGTGAAAATTACAAATAAACAAGATAACAGCAGATGGGTGGAAGAGCTCAGGATGACTTTAAGTACAACNAGACTTGTCTTCGTATTGTATCAAAATTTGGGTTTTTTACATCTCACAGTGAACTGTTGTAAGTCGAGGACTACCTGTTACTTTATCACTTCCCCCCCCATTTTTTGATGATGCAACCGGCCCAGGGCCGGCTGTTTGACACCCCTGATTTATAATGTCCCACATGCTTCCATTTTGCCTCCTGTGCTGCTTACTATCTACAAAAATTGATGGGAAAGTCTTTCAACACTATGAACTAAGAAACTCAATATGCTGATAATACCTCACCCTTTTATTCCTTACTATCCAGTGGTAACCAGTACCTAGCCTAGAGCTTTACCACTGCTATGTAAAGCAAACTGAATCTCAACTCAATCCCAGTTTTTTATATACCAGCAGCACTTTCATTTTACTTCAGTTTGATTTCAGCTTGATCTCTCATCCAGCCTATGTTAATAAAAATTAGTGTGCACTTGGAGGAGCCATATATTAACAGTAATCTGGGTACTTTGAACTCTGAAGCACAAGCTCTCTGACATATGGCTTCTATATCATAGAAAGAATAATATTCTTATAGTTTAATAATTAACAAATAATGCTGTAGTTGCAGCTTTTACCAACCCTATAACATGCTGTTGTAAAACTTTATGCTTGCCTAGATTCTTGTCTATTGAGCTACAAAAAGATAAGGGGCAAAACCACTTTCCATGTAGGCTGGCAAATAAAGCAGGAGACTGCCATTTCTTTTTCTGCTGCATCGTTAGAGTTTCCCGGGCATGTGGCACTTCCTGCAGGGTGGCTATTTTTCACTCTGCTGTGCATGTGTGTTTAGCACTTCATGAGGTAGCACTTTGCGCTAATGCCATTGGAGCTTCCTGAGCATTTGGGCAGAAAGGCACTCTTGCTTGATAACAGGAGCAAGAAGACAGGAAAGCTCAGCTATGTCAACAAGGGCTGTGGAGCACAGAGAGCCCAAAAGGCATGGGGGAGGGATAGGTGGGAAGCTGCAATGCTCCTGTCATCATAAGTGCAGGCGGGTTGCAAAATGCCAAATTTTGATCATGTGGCCATGACGTTGCTGCAATGGCTGTAACTATGGGCGCAGATCATAAGTCCATTCAATTCTGTCAAACAGTTATAAATCGCAGACTCTCTGTATTTGGAAGTACCTCATGCAAGCAAATCTTAATACCAAGAAAGAACTGGTATATACATTTCAAACTTTATTAAAATTCACTGTGTGTAAAAAAAATGATTAAATGTGAATATATACAAACATACACTCTTGTATTCAAAAGAGTTACCTGGCAGCCTAGGTAACTAATTATCAGATATTTCAACAAACTTTTAAGACATCCAAAAGGACATTACTAAGTTACATCAGAAATAGTGACAAAAGAATGCCACTTATCTGGTTAGGCTAATTATGACTTTTAATAGAATCTTTAAAGCTTCAAAATACAGTAATATGCCAGTTTAGCAGAAAGATTGCTTAAAGATTCAGACAATTTTTTAAAAGTAGCAGTCCATGATATTCTCTTCTGTCAATTTTTTTTATTTACCACAGTCTTCCTTTCATTTCATGTTACAGATGTTACGAGTTTAGTTCTCTGTGCATTTCATTCATTTCCTTTACCTGAAGACAAAAAAAGTTATTTTTAATGGGTTGCCTTTTTAATTTCTGCCAGTACAAAGAATACTAATCTGTCTGAAGTGAATGATGTTTTTTCTATGCCATAATTGTGCAAAATATGAATACATTTCAAAATTGAATGAATACATTCAATTTTACATTATTAAGTATATGTAATTTAACCATGTTTGCAAACCCAGTCTGAATAAAAAACAAGACTACTACAGTAACTGTTCCACTACAGAATTCTCTCACACTACAAAAAAGCTATTTCACAAGTTAATCATATTAAACATTCTCCCAACATTAGAATATTGAATATAGTTGTTATATAGTTGCCCGTGAGCTTATACAGCAATGAAACCCTGGATGTTTATTATGTGAATTGGATCATTCTTACCAAAATATTCTTAACTATTAAAGCTAGTTTATATCTTTACAGTAGTCCACAACTTATGACTATTCATTCAACGACTGTTTGAAATTACAACAGTGCAAAACAAAGGGACCTATGACTCATGAGTGAGGTTATAGCTGTTGCAGTACCCTTGTAGTCGCATGATTGAGATCTGTATGCTTGGCAATCTGTTTGCACTTACAACAGGTTGCAAAGCACTCTGCAATCAGGCAATTGTCATATGCAATCATTCCTGCCAGCTCCCCCAGAAAGTCAATTGGGAAGCCTGCAGGAAAAGTCGCAACTTACTGCCACATGCCAAAAAGACTCCTTCTAGTCTCTGAAGGCTGGCTAAAAAAGTTCCATGCCAAAATCTAAGCAGTATTTTCAGTCCTAAAATAGAGAAGCATGTCTGTCCACTTGGGGGCTGAAAATCCCCCTTCATGTTAAAATCCAAGTGGTATTTTCAACCAACAAATGGAGAGACGTGTCTCTCCACTCTGTGGCTGAAAATCTTGCCTGGATTTCAGCATGGATTTGCAGTGCTTGAGTAGAAAGGCAAGTCTCTTTGCTCAGGCGCCAAAAATCCAAGTAAGACCCTCCCCCAACTTGCGTGTAGCCTGCATTGGGCCCATTATGGCCTCCCCCACCTCCCTGAGGCACCCTGCGCTCTTTATCTGGAACCCTGTCCAGTTAACAACCGGCAAGATCACTTAACCACCACAACTGGGAATGCTGGAATGTCAGTCACTGTGTGAACAACTGAGATTCCAGGGGTCTTAAGAACTATTTGTAATAAAACATATATCACATTTGTATCATAGTTTAAAAAATTAAAACGATTACTATCTAAATAGTTACCTCGGCTTTTTCATACTTGCCGCTCTTTCTTCGAGTAAATATCTACATGGAGAAAACAAAACAGCTCAGGTATTTTTCTATTCCAACACACTCAAGAATCAATTTAACAGAACATAGATACAATATCCAGAAACTATTGATGCCAATTATCCATATGATCTATCGCATAGTCACTTATAAAACCATTCCATGTTACTCATGAAATGTGCAGTCTTTGGCTCATCTATTTGGGCTATTACAGGTTAATACTACATGAGGCAGGTTTTCACTTAAAGCCTCTGCTAACTTTGAAGAGTTGGAACAGAACTGCATTTTTGGAGGGTTACTGCACTCACCAATATAGGCTAAGAGATAAGTCATTTGGTGATTTCTAGATGTTCTGAACTCTCACTGAGGTGGTTTAAATGTTTCATAGATAAATTGTTAGTTTCAGCAGTCGGAACTAATTTTACAAAATACTGAGGACATCAGATTCCCTGAACCTTCTGTGGGCAGTATTGAACCAGAGAGATCAATTGTAATATAAAAACTATTAAAATAATTAAGAATATACAAAACTAAAATATAATAAGGCTAAAATAAAATTACACATTGCATAATACATCATCCACCCCAATATTATAAAGAATCATGTCATATGAAACAAGAATATTTTTTGCTGGCTGGCACTTTTAAGTAGGTGTTCAAGTCCAGTGGATAGCTCCTATAGTTTTAGCTTCTATGACAAGAATAAATGTAGCACTTTAAGAGTCAGAATTGGTAGTTAAAAATTTATAAAACTTATTATAAATTTATCTTACATTTTTATTTGTCCAGACTGGCTATTATTTTCAAAAATTACTACCCCATAAGAATGCCATACAGGTAATCCTCGACTTACAACCATTCATTTAGTGACTGTTCAAAGTTACAACAGCACTGAAAAAAGTGACTTATGACCATTTTCACACCTGCGACCGTTGCAGCATCCCCATGGTCATGTGATCAAAATTTGGATGCTTGGTAACTGGTTCATATTTATGACAATTAGTGTCCCAAGGTCATGTGATCACTTTTTGTGACCTTCTGACAAGCAAAGTCAATGGACAAGCCAGATTCATTTAACAACCATGTTACTAACTAAACTGGTGATTCATTTAAATGTGGCAAAAAAAGATTGTAAAATAGGAAAAACCTCACTTAACAAGTGTTTCGTTTAGCAACAGAAATTTTGAGCTCAATTGTGGTCATAAGGTGAGGACTACCTGTATTTATTTTAGATAAAATAAATGATGTCTAATAGCCAATATACTTATCAACAGTTTATTCCACCAATATCTATAGAGGTGAAGAAGTTGATGACTCATCTGAGGGTTTTGATACTCAGTTTTACAGAGTCTTAAGTAGCTATTGTATTTCATAATAATAATAATAATAATAATAATAATAATAATAATAATAATAATAATAATAATAATAATAATAATAATAATAATAATAATAATAGTAATAAAAAAAAAGTTGGAAGGGACCTTGGAGGTCATCTAGTCCAACCCCCTGCTCAGGCAGTGTTAATAATCTTCTATTTTAACAATACAGCATTTATTGTTTATCATGGACTGGCTGAATTGTAATGGCCCAGGGGAGAAATGGAAAGTTCAAGAATTATCTAAAATAATAGGCTTTATGTTTATCTACTCTAGGATACTTTTTATTTGAACATCAGAATTAAGATCTTCTAAATAAGAAAAACATACCAGTACAAGAATACCAGCAACTATTGCCAGGACTACAACCACAATTACAGCAATAAGTCCAGGTGTCAAACGTTTCATTACAAACTCTGGTGCTTTGTCATCAACGTAATATATTACTGTGTTCTCAAATTGAAGAGGTTTTCCTACAACATTGGTTCCAAAACCTTCAGTAATGATTGAGTCCTCTTTGATCTGAAAGAGCAGGAACATGAATGATTCAATTATTCTTTTGAAATACAAACCATTGAAATACAGCATAAATTCATACCATTAATTCTACTTTACTTTCCTTTAAAAGCTCCACATACTTACATCTTTCTCAAAATAATATGCCACATCAGCTATATCCACATCAGTATTTCCTTTTTCTGAAACATTTTGTTTGAGATTGATAATAATGAAAGGCTCCTCATGCTGAAAGAAAAAATACTTTCACTTTAAAAAAAATCACATATCAAGTTTAATCATAATTGTTTTATTTCTTAATTAACCAGGCTTTTAAACCCATTTTTAATAAATAATTTAAAATTTGAATTAACAAAATATTTTAGATGTCTTGATGTAATACAATTACATATATAAAACTGACATTACACCTTCAATCAGGGTTGATTCTAAACCTTCAAAAGTAAAATGTATATGCCCCCATGAAAGATAACCCGAAGTAATATTTCCATGAAAGCATCCAATAACTGTTATACATACCAAAAAACTTATGTGCTTTTCATCCAAAAGATAACGCTCCGTAAAGATTTTTCCAATACTCCTGGGAATTAAGGAAAGAAATAAAAACCTCTGAAAGACCTTTATGAAACAATTTAGTACTGAAACCCCTATCAATCCCTCCATCACTTTCCCCCTATGAAAACTAGCTAGATAGCAGTTTTGAGCAACTTGCTGGTTGATTATTTTATACTTCAATACATGAGCTATGGTTTAGTAAACCAGAATGTTAATAAAATTAGCCTAAGAAGTCCATTTTGCGCAATTTTGAGCAACTTGCTGGTTGATTATTTTATACTTCAATACATGAGCTATGGTTTAGTAAACCAGAATGTTAATAAAATTAGCCTAAGAAGTCCATTTTGCTCATGTTTTGCCTATTTCTTTGCAAGGTTAGGTAAGCAAGTCAGAAAAAAGATATATAGTATCTGAACCCAGCTTATTCTATGGTTTATTACACACAAAAAGTTTGAATAATGAAAGACAGACACCAACTAATTTTATATATTTTTATGATCTCTTACTTGTTTTGGTGTGACATCACAATCTCGTATTCAGGAATCATGCACAGTACATTGTGCTAACCATTTTCTTTTCAACTACATTGTGAAAATCATTTTGTCTACTAAATTGCTACATTTAAGTAGGCAGTGATAATTACAAAGACATACCTTTCAAGGGAAGCTTTGTCTGGGTGTGTATTTCCGTCACGATATTTTGTTTCTATAATAATCCAGCTAAAAATAAAATATGAAACATTATGCTCAATTACTCTGAATATTAATCACAAGCTTAAGAAATAGGACACTCAACTTGTGTATTTCTAATTTTTTGGTCTCAATTTGTTACGTCAGTATAAACTATTAAAATGTTACTGATGTTTTAACCTTAAAATAGAATGGTACAACATACAGATCTCAAAATAAATTCAATTTTATATCAGGTTTACCTTGTCCTTACTACATCTTGGCATGTAATGTTTTTATCACTCTTTTCAGTTCTTCGCACTCCAGCACTGTTCACACACCAGCAAGTCTTTGTTCCATTGCACTGTTTAGGTTTGAAGTTGCCCTTTGCATCACATTCTGGATCATATATGCCATCATTGTCTACATGTGCATGTTCTGGTCTTTTTCTTCTACCTGATTTTAAGCCAGCCACTTCTGCTTTCATCAATAGGCATTTTGAAGTCACTAAAAGGTAGTAAAAACAGTAAAGAGTAACTGGATTATTTTAACTTAAATACAATATTTTTGTCAGAAAGCAATGGAAATAGAATAATGGAATTCGTTCAGTTCTTATACTTACATGTCTGACAGTTCACTGTGATATTAAATCCAATTGATTTACACTGGCATACACCATTAAAAACAGAACAATCTGTTGTCCGTTTGTTCTTCTCACATACACATTCTGTAATATTCAAACCAAATGATTACAAAATAGCCCTTTGTATTCTGCACCAAATAGATAACTGTCTCCATTTTTTTGTAGCAGATACCTGCAAAATCATGCTACTTCAGGAAAGATTCCTTTGCTAACAGAGACAATTCAAATTAATGAGAGTTTGGAATTCTGACTTTGTAATAGCCAATACCACATACCATATCTGAAATTTTCTCTTTATGTTGCAATTCCATAAAGATTCTTGAGTAGGCTTTAAAGCAAACCATGTATCCGCTTACTGATATTCTAGATAACATTTTTATATAAGATGTTCATCATTGTAGATAGCTTTCAATAATAAACTCAGAGGGAAAAATCCCAAAAATATTAATTTTGATATTATTTCAGTGAAAAACATAATTCCAGTTCAAATCATAGGTCTCAGGGATTGCCAAAGCTGCTACTTCTAACATTTATTCTGTAGACCTCCTCTTCTGATGAATATTATCTCTTAGTTCAGAACCTGTAGTATCTGGTTCTGCAAAAATAAACTAGGTGAACCTCCTTCTCAAATCCCAAATATGCTTTTTTCACAAGGCAACTGGACTTTTTCTTAGAAGATGTTTTGCTTCTTATCCAAGAAGCTTCTTCAACTCTTCTTCAGAACTGAAGAAGCCTCTTGGTTAAGAAGCGAAATGTCTTCAAAGAAAAACAAGAAAGTCCAGTTGCCTTGTGAAAAAGCATCTTTGGCATAACTATGACCCGGATGAGTGAGAATCTCCATAGACTCCTCAAATGTACCATACCTTTTTTCCATTAAAGTAGTACTAAAAAAAAATCCAGCTGAAAATTCCCAAGTATCTCCACCCAGTTCAGTGAAAAAAATTATCTGGGAAGCAACAGCAAAGTCTATTTTAGTGTTTAACAGGCATAAGCAGTCTTGCTTCCTTTTAATCAGCTGTAGAAATTTATATTCATTTTGGACATACAGTATATGAAACCAAAACTATCCTGTTACAATGTGGCAAGAACTTGTGTATGCTGGAATGAAAAAAAAAAAAACCAAGATGGAGGGGGTAGGGAAGCAATGGTGGTTTCTACAGGTTTGCTTCTAGTCATAAGAAAAGATAAAGACTTCATGTTGTACTTGACTATTTATAACTATATAGTCACAACCATGCTTTCTCAACTATGCAAAAATGCTTCTGGGAGATTTTGTGACTTCACAATTGAGCCTCTAACCCTAATATTCTCTGGTTATCTAACTATTAACCAGACAATCCAACTTTGCTTCCAGTACTGACAAGGTTAGGCAGGACTGAAATCTACTTTTCAGTCATTTATATACTTAAGATATTTTTTCACTCTCACCCAAGATGGCACAAGCATGCCCTGAAAACATCCTTATTCTGCCTTCATATTGTCCCCAAACCCTGAATGGAACAGCATTGTCAGCTGTACCGGTATTAAAACAGTATTTCACCCTTTTTATTCTGACACCAAGGGTAAATTCAAGTTGTTTATAAGCTTCTAGATTTGTCATCTATTACCTTGGAGAGAAGTCAGGTGACTCCAGCAGCTTAAAAGAGACACAAACGATCAAAAATGGGGACGGCAAACTTTATACCAGCATAGCTTTGTACCAACTCAAGATGAATGGCTAGACTTTCAACATTAAAATAGGGAAACAACCTAAGAAAACTTTAAAAGAGCTCAGATAATGCAAAACTATTATATTCAAGGCTTTACAAACCAGAAAATACAGAAGCTTCCATTTTAACTGGGAGTTAAGATGGAGTTGCTATTGATCTACATCTACTATTATTGGTATACGGGCACTTTGTCCACTCACATTGATTTAAGAAAATCTACCTGGTTTTAGTTTAACAAAAATTAAGCCTGTTTAAGAGTTCTACCACTCTTTTTATGTGAGTGAAACCATAAAGGAAGTTTATAGGTAAGTTTATTAAGAAGTTAAATTTCTTAAGATGATTCTAAAACAAAACTAATTTTGAAATTATTTAGGACAAAGTTTCTATCCCTTGGAGAAAAGCGTTACGGAAAGTTTCATGCTGAAGAAAAAAGTCTGGGAACTCCAAATCGGCCTCTCCTCTAGGGACGGCTGGAGCTACCCAAACGCCATGGCTCTGCAGGGCGTTGGCTCCACGCGTCCGCCTCCAACTCTCCGGGAGTTGCTACTGCCAGAGCCAGCCTGCTTCCAACTGGCTCCAGCCCGCCGCCCCATAAATCGCGGCCAAGAAAGCCCGGCCGCCGCTGTTCGTGTCCACCAACATGAAAGCAACCTGCCGCCCCCCCTTCTTCCACACGAAGGCCGGGAATCTCGACGAGGTGCCATTTTGTGTGGCGTTCCTCTTCCCCAAGGCGGTGCACCCCCCGCGCGCACGAAAGCCAGGAGCTGAAAGAGGAAAGTCCGGGAATACAAACCTTGGCTCCACGCTGTAGCGGCGAGCGCCAACAGCGCTCCCAGAAGGAAAGCAGCCCTAGAAGGAAATCCCATCGTCCGCGATTTAAGAAAGCAGGTAGAACAAGGCGACGCAAACAGGTGCGGGCGACGCTCCAGTCTCTTGTGTCTTCGCTTCCCCCTTTGCTCTTAAGCTGCTCAGCAAGTTCCGCAGGAAAACTGAGCTCCTTTCAGCCAGCCGCGCCCGCCTCCTCAGGTTACACCTGGTTCCCCCCCACACACACACAGGCAGGCACGCACACACACACACTTCGCCTCTCAGCACCTGCGTCGCTCGTATTCCCTCTACTTCCGCTTCTCCAAAGGTGAACCCGTGAATCTCGTTGGCTCCGAGCTCTTATAGCTCACAACGCCACCTGCACGAAACTGGGAGCGGCCGACGGGCGGGGTTTGTGCAGTAAAGCGGCGAGGACTCACCTGCGCGCCCGACTAGCCATATATAGACTTTTCCGGGTGAAATACATTCCGGGAAGAAGGTGGTAGGAATCTTTCGAGGGCAGTGTGAGGCAACCATAGGCGAGGCGGTTTGAATATTTTAAAACGCCTTATCGACAATTGGGGAAATCCATTGTGGTTTTCTTGACTCCCCTCCCCCCCCCCAAAAAAAATCCATTCTTGAGGGGGCCTATCTACCAACTTGTTTAGAATCTAAATTTACAATGGAAGTCATAGGAAACAAACTGGGGAAAAAAAGGTTTAAAACAGACGAATCCTTTGGTGTAGAATACTGTCGTTTTAAATGGGGCAAAGGCTCAGTTAAATACATTTTAGATTTTCACTATGCTGAGTTTAACAAAATCTTGCTCAAATAGTTCATCATACAAATTAATAATAGCAACACAAATCCATCAATGATCTATCAAGTCTTTGCTTAATTTAGACTTGGGATGTTATGTATCTATCCCTGTACTCAGTTCTGGGAAGTCGGGGGAGGGGGGAAGGGGATGAAGGGGTAGAATTATATAAAATTTGGTGTATTTATAAATATAATGTAAATGTTTGTCCTTAAGAAGAGGAGATGATTGGCTAGTACCCCTAAACTGCATCCGAGGTGGTGGAAAAGAAGGTGATGGGATGATAGTTGGAAAGGAGGAAAGAGGAGAGGTCGTGGTTAAGAGGGGGAGGAAGGGAGAGGGAAGTAGGTAGGAAGGTTGAGGGAGTGTGGATGCAGGGGGGGCGACTGCCGATTATTTCTGAATACCTACTGAGTAGGCTTTTCATGTGTTTGTTTTTCTAATGAAATGCACCATATTTGTATTATTTGTTTATATGTTTATTTGAAAAAATTAATAAAAAAATTTGTAAAAAAAAAATGATCTATCAAGTCTTTGTGATGAGCATCCTTGAAGAATGAGCTGTCCCCCTCCCCCAATAGCAAGGCTGGCTCTTGATGTTAAAGCAATTTTTTTTTATCTAAAGTGGAGACCCTATTAAATTACTTATACCTAGAATTCAAAAATATAAAAATGATGCATAGTCAAATTAATAATAGGGTAAAGATACTTATAAACTACAGATATTAAGTGCCCTGTAAATATATGGGGTTTTTTTCCTTAAAATTCTTTAGACCCTTCCCTTTAATAGCCATAATGAAAGATTTTTTTTCTTCCTTTCTATATTCTCACCTGAATAAATTAGGGCTCTTGTTTGTATCTACATGCTGGTTTTTACTGTCTTGTACTAGATTTATGAGAACAAACTTGGAAATGTCCTCACATTCTCCAATTGCTCGGGCTCCATTAATATTTAAGGATGTGACAGTGATTTCACATGTTTGTATTCAGAGGTAGAGATAAATCAAATGTATTACTTAACATGTAGTTCTTCTGTTAAGATGACACATTTCTTAACATATAGTTCAAACATTTAGAGAAATCAGGACTTTATGTGCCTGCTCTGCATTGCTCAGGTTTTGTGATCTGGAAAGTCAGAATAAACCTAAGCTATTCTATTAGAATTTTCCCAATTGTTTTTCCAAATTCTCATAGCACCCCAATAATTGTTTATTTACTATTTCACTTTCCTAACATATTTTTTTTCTTAGATAACTTGCATCAGAAAAAAAAATGAAAATATAGTACAGGTCGTCCTCAACTTAACAGTTCATTTAGTGACTGTTTGAAATTATAGCATTGAAAAAAGTGATTTATGATTGTTTTTCATACTTATGACTATTGCAGCATCCTCATGATCACATGATCAAAATTCAGACGCTTGGCAACTGTCTCATATTTATGATGTTTGCAGTGTTCTGGGATCATGAGATCACCTTTTGTAACCTTCTGACAAGCAGAAGGGGGGAGGCCAGTAGGAAATCAGATTCACTTAACAACCATGTTATTAACTCAACAACTGCAGTGAGTCACATAACAACTGTGGCAAGCAAGATTATAAAATGGGGCAAAATTCAACAAATGTCTTACTTAGCAACAGAAAATTTGGGCTCAATTGTGATCATAAGTTGAGGACTATCTGTAGTCATCATTCAGTTTACAAACTAAAAAGACCGTTTTTTTTAAAGTTGACTGAAGAGAAAAGTTACATGAAACAACAAAGTGAGGTTTCAAGAATTAAAGTATTTATTTTTTAAACAATTGGTACTAAGTTGATCTGTGTTACTGTTCTCATTCTAGCTTGAATCATGCCAATTTTCAGGGACTCTTATAATAGTATTCTTCTAGATGAAGGCAGATTCTTAAAAATCCCATCCTTTCATTTGTACAACCATTACAGATTTTCCTTCTTAAATTCAGTTCTAATCATCTCAATGATAAAAATAAAATGCTTATATTTGAAATTTGTACAAATAAATGACCTTAGAATCACCAAAACAATGCTGGGATGAGGAATGCTTAAATAATAATAATAATAATAATAATAATAATAATAATAATAATAATAATAATAATAATAATAATAATAATAATAATAATAATAATAATAATAATAATAATAAAGTTGGAAGGGACCTTGGAGGTCATCTAGTCCAACCCCCTGCTCAGGCAGGAAACCCTATACCATTTCAGACAAATGGCTGTCTAGTTTCTTCTTAAAAACTTCCAGTGTTGGCGGGTTCACCGCTTCTGGAGGCAGGTTGTTCCACTGGTTAATTGTTCTAACTGTCAGGAAGTTTCTCCTTAGTTCTAGGTTGCTTCTCTCTTTGGTTAGTTTCCACCCGTTGCTTCTTGTCCTGCTTTCAGGCGCTTTGGAAAATAGCTTGAGTCCCTCTTCTTTGTGGCAGCCCCTGAGATATTGGAACACTGCTGTCATGTCCCCCCTCGTCCTTCTCTTCGTTAAACTAGACATACCCAATTCCAGCAGCCTTTCCTTATATGCTTTAGCCTCCAGTCCCCTATTCATCTTTGTTGCTCTTCTCTGTATTCTTTCTAAAGTCTCAACATCTTTTTTACATCGTGGTGACCATAGGTTTCCGTGAAATAATTTTTCCAATTATATGCATCCACATGAAAATCATACACATTCTTAAAAAATACAGTGACCCAGTTCCATGAACACATCTAAAAATACACTTGTTTATTCAGACTAATCAATCCAAAATAACCACTTCCCATAGCTGTGGAATCACTAAATGATTTTGTAACCTTCTGGGGGGAGGCCAATGATTATGCCAATTGCTTCTCCACCCAGAAGTATGTAGTATGTAGTAGCAGAAAGTTTACCTTACTTCAACAATGTACATTCTTCCTTGACAAAACATGTGGAAGAATTGAAATTGAAAACAAAGATGAGAAGCAGAAATTGCTTGCCAATTTTTCTTTCTTTCTTCTCCATTACTTTCTGTTTTTATCTTATTCATACCATTTCCTAGATACAGAAAAATATAAAAGTTTAAACGTGTGATAGTGTCTTTTTAAAAATTTTGACAGTATGCCAGAAATTTTTATTCTTGCCACGAAAAGCCTTTCAAAATTAGTACACACTTTAAGAATGCATTTTTAAAAATACTTTTACAACTTTTAAATTATGTTAATGGTGACAACGTAAGTATAAGTGGTAGTGAAACTGCATTAAGTAAGTTTATAGGTTACATATCTGCAAAATTTGTTTTTTAAAAGATACAAGCTCTCTCATTTAGAATAAAATATGTTGCAGGATCTAATCTGATTCAGTCACCGGGACCAAAGATTCATTCTTCCAAGCTTTCAGGCTCGTGCTGGAGCTGATCCTCGGGGAGCTTCTCTCTTTCCTGAATATGTTCTCTTTCCTGGACAGAAGGAAGTTCCCTGTTGATGAGTTCCAGTATGAGCCCAGAAGTTTGAAACAATAATCCCTTGGTCTCAATGACCAACTCAGATTGGATCCTGCAATATTATCCTGGGACACGTATTGCCTTATTGCCTTCATTTGCAATAAGGTTCCCGTATTCCTTTAGTTCAGCAGAGTATTATAGTGCCTTAGGACATTTGAACAGGAACAAGAGAGGAGGAGGAGCAGGCAAAGAAAGATCATCAGGATGATAATGCGTAATAGAAAAGAAAGCAAAGGGCAAAGGGTGGATACTAGACAGGTAATTCAACATCACTGAAATCCTTTTTCTGCTAGACAGAGGAAACTAATAATGTCTTTTCTGTTTCGTGTTAATAGAAACAGCCAGTTTTCGTGACACACTTTGTCAAATAGCTTGCAAATCTCTCACTTACTCATCCACACTGTTTATTTTTTAATGATCAAATAGAATTTCAGAAGATTAGTATCATTGCCAAATGACATAGAAGTTGTTTCACATAATCTGAAATAAAAAATGTGTGAAATTTTAAAACTCACTTGGGCTGTTTTAATTATAAATCAAATATTTATTCTAACTTCGGGGAATTCTATTCATTCATTCATTTGACTTGTATGGCTGCCCAATGTATAAAACGAATGCATTTTAAAATGACCAATACTGACCAAAACCAAACAGAATTGATTGGCATCTAAGAATACCTATTAATATACTATACCAACTCTTAAGAGATAGACTCACTCAACACTTTGATCCAATACCTATAAGAGCAGCCAGATCTTCAGTGCTTTGCAAAAAGCAAATAGGGTCAGGCCCATTCAGGGGAGGTGCTGCAACAAAAAATGCACATTTCCTGGGTCACATCACAGAGCAATGCTTGATAGAACCTGTCAACTCTGCCTGATCGGATGGGACAAGCAAACCTAATGGGAGATGGGTGGAGCCACAAATAACTCGGCTATTAACCATACAC